CCCCCCAACACACCCCCCTGCACCAAAAAAGCACATGTGCATGCACCACACACACTACAGAGGACTTTCCAGGGAAAACTGAAAATTAGTTCCAATTCCATACAAGTTTAAAAACAAAGATCTTGTTATACTTACTAGCATAACAATAGTAGCTATCAGACGAGTAGGTTCGAACATCCTTTTCAATTGCTTCATTGGTCCCATAAGGAAAACAGTGCTGCAACAAGCAAATTAACACAGCATGAGCACAAAAGATCTGGGGACAGCAAAGGCATGCTTGCATTGCCATCATAACCTATTGTAACATACCATAGGTGCCATGGACATACAAGGTAACAATGTACTTCACTGTGGGGAATAGTGCTATATAGACAGCAAAGACTTAGGGGCTATACCATAAAACAAAAGCAGCACGCAACGGAGAACAGGCAAGTAAGCCACCATGAGTTGGGTGCTGGATAAACTAAGTCTTGAGAAGAAGCAGTAGAAGATGTTTGTAATAGAAACATTGTCAGAAAAAGTACAGCATAAAAGCCAATGGTGGTCATTGGGCTTCCTACCCAAACTCCATTTTGTTTGGTTGGCTGAAAATTATCCTGAGGAAAATACAAGGACTGTATTTATAGAAGCAAGTCAAGGATGTCATCCACTATTTAAGTGCTGCCATATACCACTCATTTGATCAGCCAGTGAGGACAGGATGCATTGCTGACTGGATGGGTTTTTTTTTCCTAATACTAACAGAGGGGGAGTGGGAAGGGGCATGGGGGGGGGAGGGGGGAGGGGGGGGGGGGGGAAACAGACAAAGACCCCCACAGTGAGGAGGAAGTGAGGCAGGGGCAGGGCTAGGGTGAATGGGGCCTCCAGGCCATAGCAAGTCATGGGACAGAGCCAAAAGTGGCTTGTCCAGAGGTACAGGGAGGCATGGCTGTGCACACCCCTTGCCCCGATTTGTGCGTAGGAAAGAGGCGAGCTGCATGCTGCAGGCTGGGCACAACAGCTCCTGGGAGAAAGAAAGCAGGGTGCAGAGCCCCAGCTTGCAGTGGGCAGCCCTCCTCTTCCTTGCACACAAAACTGAGGGAGCATGTGTCCCCCATTCCTCTCCTGGGAGTATGTGCAGTAGCGGGGAGCCACACCCCCCACCCCAACAAACCTCCCACGGCTCCATCTTGCAACCCGCTCCGGC